TACAATTGAGATTATCATGTGTTTCTTAATTATACCTCTTAATAAGAAGAATGTACCTATTATTTATGAGAAGAATGACCTTTAGTTTGGTGCATTGATATGTGTAAATGTGATGTGTGTATCTGCAATCAATATTATATTAGCTTGACAATTTTAAACAAATCACAAGTGAAGCAACCAGGTGCTAAAGACTTTTTTTTAAAATTTATTGACTTTTTTCTTTTTTTTTTTTTTTTTTTTATGTATTTTGGTTAATACTATTGTCTTTTATGTTGAGTTAATTTTGATAACTTTTCTTTTTCAAGAAAAATCACTGTTTCTTGAAGGTCTAAAAGTTTATTAGCACCGATGTGTACATTTTCATGGATTTCAAGAACTTTTCTGTATGTGATATATCCTATCTGGCAGAGGAAGATATGGGGGTGCTTGCCTGTCTTTGAGTGGAGTGGAAAAAAACAAAAAAGAAATAAAATGTCTCCCCTGAGATGCAAAACCACATATTCACCCTCAGGCAGATTTGGTGCCATAATTTATTCTGCCAGTATATTCTAAAAATCTAGTTAAAGTAGTCATGGGCAGTATTGCCCCAAGGCATCTGGCAGAAACGAAAGTAAATCTCCAAAGGAACACCCTTTAAACTTGGGCCTCAGTCAATGTCTCGGATAAAGTTCCTAGGAACTATAGGCTGACAATAGGAACAGGGGCTCACAATAGGGAAAAAAGAAATCAGAACACACGAGGCAGCTCACTGTCATAAGCAACAGCCATCCAACAACAGACAGCAGAATCAAATGCATGAAGACTGCAGATGTTGGAACAACCAAGCACACAATGTAGTATATTGACTGTTTAAAGACAGAAAGGACAGTGCTGACAGTATGCCTAGGGAGAGAGAAATGATCAAAATTGACCGTTTTGAAAAACAGAACTTTTCTAAATGAAACATAACATAATTAAATCTAAAATTAAATATCAGAATACTTACATAGATGTAGGGAGAGTGGTGAACTGAAAGAGAAATCAAAAGAAATGACATAGAATCTAGCATAGAGAGACAGAAATGGAAAAATATAAAAAGAAATCAAGCTATATGATGATAGAATGAGAATACCTATTGTTTGTCTAATTAGAGCTCCGTGGAGACAGAATAGAGAGAATGGGGAGAACTAATGGCTGAACCGTTTCCAAAATTAATGGCAAAAAAGAGTCTTCAGATTCAGAAAACCTAATGAAGTCAAAGAAGGTAAACAAAAAAGAAACTCAAACCTCAAGACATCGAAGTAAAACCGCAGAACACCAAAGGCAAAGAGAAAACAATAGAACTATCCAGATATAAAGGAAGAGTTACCTGCAAAGGACCTGCAGTCAAATTAAGAATCAACTTCTTAACAGCATCACTAAAAGCTAGCCTATATTGGAGTAATTTCTTTAAAGTGCTGAGAGAGAATATTTTTAATCTATCATTATATACCGAGGATAACTGTTTTTCACAAATAAGGATTAAATAAAGACATTTTTAGAAAAACAAAAACTGAAAGAGTTGACCTTCAACAGAACCTCATTATAGAACTTCAAAAGAAGATACTTTGGGAAAAAGAAAGTGACCCTGGAGAGAAGATATGAAATCCACAAAGGAAGCTGTGCATAAATATACACAAACTCTAACTGTATTAAAACAAAACTAAAGAAGTAAATCCTGAAAAACAAAAGCATATAAAATCAGAGTTTAAATATTTTAAGGTTCTTATATTATGCAGGAGAAGGATAAAGATAGTCACTTTTGACTTTAATATGGATGATTAAATCTATGGGTAATCCCTGAAAATAGAAATAAACTGTATAACTTCCAAACTAGTGAAGGGAAGAATAGAATAAGGGGTAAAAGGAGTTGAATAAAAGAGAAGGCAACATTTTAAAAAGAAACAAAGAAATTTTGAAATAGAGTAACAAATAGAAAGCAGAAAATAAGCTTTAAGGTTAAGGCATTTTTAAAGGAAAGATATAATATATTGTTAAAAGGTATCAGGAAATAGCAAGAAACTAGTAATATTGTTTCAATATACAGCAAAAAAATGTTCAGTCATTGATCAAGCACACACAAAAATCTTAAGAATGTAGTTGATTTAGAACCGCACAACTAATGAGATTGTTCCAATGAACTTAAAATGTTCATTCAACATCTAGAAAATTGTATTCTGTGCCAACACCCCAGGAATAGTTTGCCACTGTTCCTGGGGTGTTGATAGACTATTCAATCTTAATACGCTGAGGGGAGTCAACTCTGTTACCCCTATCTAAAACTTCTCTGACCGCAGCATAGAGGTAAAAATAAAAAAAGAATGTTATCTACAGTTGCCTTACTTTTGTGTAGCACTTTAAAGAAAGGTTTTTATGTGTCCTAACCCATTTAATCTTCATGACAGCCTTATAAGGTAAATTGTAATACTCCCTTTTAATTCATGGAAGAAAGCAAAGCGGGAGAGATTAAATTGTCTGAGACCACAGAGCTATTAAGAATGCAAAGGCCCAAATATCTACTGACTAAAGCCATTGATCTCCCAACATACAGAAATAGTTGTCAACTCACTACAAACTTTACATTTAAATGCCAAAAGCAAAGTACTGTGCTTGCTATATCGAATAAAGGAAAGGGTAACAGCATTACCTTCTCAGTGACCAAGGAATAATGATTATACTGAATTTATGCTCTGAATCCTATTAACATATTTGTGGCTTTTTATAATGCTCTCTTTCCAAACCTTAGTCACGTTTAAACTCTGGTTGGCTGTTTGTATTTTTGAACTTTCACTTCTAAAAATATCCTTTAATTTGGAGGATGGAGGAGCTTTCCCTTAAAACTTACTGTTTTAGGTTGCGGTTCTTCAATTTCTAATCTAAATTCTCAGAAAGTTGTGTCTGATTCCAATAAAAACAAGTAACCAGGTTGTTCTCTTATTGTTAGGCAAGAACTGTTTCATTTTGGGTCTTAAATTTCCTCTTTTATTGCTCTCTTTGGAGTGGGTGGCTGATGTAAATGAGGACGCCTGGCGAGGCACCATCGCTGCCCTCCGTGATTTTACGAGTTCCTCCTCGAACAAATGGCTGGGTCAGTGCAACCTCTCGATCCTCAGCACGCAGCTGGCTTCTCTGAAGCCTGCCAGAGAGGAGTCAACTCAAACCCCGACTGTCCTGCTTGAGAACGCTGACCCAATAGCTTTCACTGTCTCTGGGAAGATTCGGTACCCTTGGAGGAGTGCAGGCCCTGACACCCCTTGCTGTAAACAAGCCTCCCTGCATTTACTAACTGAAAACATAAATAGGTGATCGGTTTCACTGTGGTGGAATCTGGTGAAAGAATCTGAGACTTTGCATTCCGTGGTCCTTCCCTCTGTGTGGTACCTGCACAGTCTGCACTGGGAGGTTGAACCTCGACCATTCAAAGAGGTGGTCCTTCTGTCTCCTTTGTCAAGTCCTCCCAGCTACTGTGAGGTGGACACAGGGCAATCCCCTTACCACTGCATTCACTGTGCATATCCCGAAGTCCAGTCTCCCACCTCCTGCATATGAAAATGTTTGGAAGCACTCACTTTATTTTAAAATGCTTCCAGCATTTTGGGATGCTCTTCCCTCATGTTTCTGTGTAAAATGCATCTAGGATTCTCCAAGCAGAGAGCAATGGGAAAATGAAGTACGTTTACAAAAAAAAAATAATAATAAGTCACACCTATCATTTGGGCGATACCATGGGAACTTCCCCCTCGTATGTATCTGTCTTATTGTTTCCATTCCCATGGCTTACGTTTAAGAAGCATCTACTCTGTGCCAGAAACAGCTGAGCACTTCACATGCATTACATATTTAATTCACTCCACAGACCCAACATCCTGATTTTATATAAAACAATATAAAACCCACTACACCCTGACATGTGAAGAGGTTAACTGGGCGGGCACACAACAATAAGTGGCTGATGTCATTCAACTGTTTTTCTGTTTAAAATTGTTCCAACCTACCTCAAACAGATCCTTGTCTTCAGAATCCCAAATTAAAGAATTTTCAGAATTAGGCTTGACAAACCCTGTCATTACCTTACAGGCTTTCATATTCTCTTCTCTTCGCAGGGGGGAACACCAACTTTCATATTATTATTTCATGCATTTCAAATCTATTATTATTTCCCCTCAACTTTCTCCTTGGCATGATTTAAACAAATAAGAATAGCAGACAAACGCTTGTTAACATTCCTTCCAAGTCTGTATTTTCTGAATGCCTCAGTCACTTTGCTTTCAACTTCAAACTTTATTTGATTTTCCTATAGCCTCCTAAAGAGTGAAAGATACGAAGCAGACACTCGTTATTTGTAATTGTGAAATATGGCCAGAAAAAATTCAATGGCAAACAAGTGGAAAGTAGCTCCATGTTATAAATGAGGCAGACTTTTATTTTCTTTGCTACTTAAAAGATAAAGGAAAATATTATAAGGTCAGGCCTGTTTTTAGAAGCTTGATTTTTTTAAAAAAAAGTGGTAAAGATGCTTTTTCTAGCATTGAAAAATTTCAAGAAAACACTTTGAAATCTATTTATCAAAAAATGAGCCAGTATTTTTGGACCATCTACTTTTTTAAGGATAATATAGCCTATGTGTAAGAAATGGCTCTTGCCTTGAAGAGTTTATACTTTAATGACTGAGAGAAGGTGGACATACCAATACGTTTTGTTATACCACAAGGCAGTACATATTAGGCGCCTTTCTTTAGCATTTCTTACCATTCTTTAGCAAGATCTAGAAATGTACTCTCTAAAACACATCATGAAAGGTTCCTCCTCTTCAGAAAAGTTTGATTTTGAATTTCGTTTTATACTTCATAGACAAGAGTCTGTTTTCCCTCCATTTATTGTCTGATTATCGTGATCAAGTCTTAAATCTGGATTGAAATGCTACTGAAAGACCCTTCCATGGTACCCACTTTGAGATGTATCTTCATGTCCCTCCTAACTAGCGTCATCAGAGATGGGGCCTTCCCTCGTGATTCACACCACTGTCCCCTTTGGAGTTGCACACTTGGAACACAGCACTAAGGATGTGCAGGAGTTAATCGTCCAGCAGCTGGAGAACATTTTGCCAGGTTTGCCTCAGCCAGTGGCTACCAAATGCCAGAAATGGAGATATTCACAGGTAAGCACTGAATAGGGCAGCGTGAGCACAATTTTCTTAACAGGCCGGCAGAGCTGACTTCACTTTCTCATCACGTGTGTAATGTGTGCATGTAAACCTCTGTGGGTTTTTTTTTTTTTTTTTTATTTTTTTTTTATTTTTTTTTATCCTCACCCGAGGACACTTTTCCATTTTTTGTACAGATAGAGTGGGAGGGAGAGAGAGGAAGGGAGACAGAGAGAGAAACATCGACGTGAAGGGACACATCGAGTGGCTGCCACCCGCACGACCAACCAGGGCCGGGGACAAACTGCAACCGAAGCACGTGCCCTTAGCGGGAACCGAACCCGGGTCTCTCCGGACCGCAGGCCGACACTCTAACCGCTGAGCCAAACCGGCCAGGGCCCTCTGTGGGTTTTTATCCCGTTACTCCTCAATAAGGGAGACATGCACTTTTTCCCAATCTAATGTTCAAATTTTAGCATCTCAAGACATGCCCCCTGAGAGTGCGAGCTTTCCTCAAGCAAGGCAAGTTGTGTATCAAAGGCAGCTGTTCTAAATCGGTACTGCGGTTTATATAGAAACCACTATAACCTCCCAAATTTTTGCAGTACGTCAAATTGACCTCGTAAGTGTATTTTGCTACCACAGTTTTCATTTTTATTAAGTTCCCACTTTGGTTCTGACTGCTGCCAGCAGAACCCTTTGAGGGAGAAAGATGAAGACCTGCGTGGATCAGCTAGTTCCGCTGGTTTTCAGGGTGACACGAACCTGCTGATCTCAGGCCTCGTTCAAACTTAAAGCTCTTTAAACACTAAGTAAATGTTGACTTTTCTGAAAGTCTGTGCGTATTTCAGTCGAAGTCTGTGAGTATTCCTAGAAAAAGCCTTTTGATCTGTCAACTTTGTTGTGAAGTTATTTAGGGACAGTGGAGCAAAGGGCAGGAGGGGGAAAGACACAGCGAGTTGTCTATTTTTTCCTAAGATTTCTGAGCCCATGGATGAACTGATTTATCAGCACTATTGGTTATCTAAGCTGGGAAGCCTTTGGAAAGAGTGGTGTTGTGAGAAATCGCAGCAGATTCTGTATATTTTAAAGGTCTTTCCAGAATGAAAGGAAATGGGAAATTGTAAATGACTTCCTAAAATTGCTGCAGGTCTATGTGTTTACCCATATCTTCTCAAGTTAAATTATACAGTGAACCTTTGGGGAAAATATTTACTTAAACATGTCATGGTCACTTTAGAAGACTACTTTTTCCTTTTAAAAGCACTGAAAAAAAATCTCAACAGTTAATGTCTTGAAGTGACATTTAACTCAGTTTTAGGTTGACTTAAAAAAGAAGTCAGGGAAATAATCTGCTGATATAATTTGAAGGTAGATATATTACACAGAAAGTCATTTTGCAATTTATAAATATTCCTTAAACAAACAAGAATTGGTGAATTTCTTCCTCTGACTTCCTTTAAGTAATTTATTAATAAACCAAAAATATGAGTTAAAATTTACTTATTTCTTAAAATTTAATGTGTTGTAGAAATAGATTGGGCCTTACCACAAAATGACCTGTTCAAAGTTGTGCAATAACACCAAATTTAATTCAAAAAAAACTGTGAACACAAAGTACCTCCAAACCCTAGTAATGATTTCTATTACAATTGAGATGGTCTCTCTTGAAATCACTCCAGCACATTTACAGCTCTGCAGTCACGAAATCTACATGGGCTGCGAAGCCTGAAGGGGAAAAAGTTGTCATTTCACCTTAGAAGTTTGCATTTTTCACCCTTCATGTCTTCTCATGGGACCTTGAGCAGCAGTCAACAGACCGTAGTATTGTCCTTGATGGCAGAGGTTTTACCTACATTGTGAGGTGATAGCTAGATAGATGATAGAAAGAATGATACATAGATAGGTATCGATAATCTCTCACATCACCTTAGACAAAGAAATAATGATGCTATTAAAAATACTTAATAGCATTTAACTAGTTCGTTTTTGATGATTGTTCCACAGAGACATTTCTTCAATGCTTTTATTTACTCATTTATTTATTTTGCCAGTTTCAGTTGATGACTTATTTATTTTTTATTTTTTTATTGTTGAAAGTGTCATAGATGTCCTCCTTTTTCCCCATTGACCCCCTCCTTCTCGCTCCCATCCCCCTCCTGCCTTCCCTAGCCTAATGTCTGTGTCAATTGGTTGTGCACATATGCATATACGTTCTTTGGTTTATCTCTTTCTTCAGTGCTTTTAAAAGATCCATCTTAAACTTTGAAATGTGACATAAACACATGCACCCTCTTCCCTTGTCATCCAAACATATGATCTACCTTTGATAATTTATAAATGTTTGTGTATGAATATGGTCTAATAGTGCTTATACTGAAGGGAAGGGTGGTGTAGAAGCAAAGACAAAAAAAGAAAGAGGAACAAACAAGCAACTAATTTTGACATTTTTCTTATTTCTGATTAGCATTACAGTCCCCTTGCAAGGGAAATTCCACCCATATTTTTTCCAGCCTAGGTCGCATCCTGTGTTCTCTTCCTTTTTCTCCTCCCCCATCCTGCTAGACCCAAATCTCCTATTTTCCACACTCTATCTCTTCTTTTCTCCTCTCGCTCTGACCTTCAAACCCTCATTATATGATATCCTGGATCGACCACAGAACTGCTGTCCCATGCTCCAAGCAGTGGTGGTATAGATTCCCTTTTCTAGACCACTCAGACGACTGTTTTCTTCTTTTCATTTTGGGATCCATATACTGCACGCTGGCACCCAGTGATTATGAAGGGTTGGAAGAAGAAGAGAAAGAGACAGCAGTGATAAGCCACAGTGTGGCAGGCCTGGAGCTGGGCAGTTCTAAGATGTGATCTCACTTGATATCAAAAGTAGCCTTAGCCCTGGCCGGTATGGCTCAGTTGGTTGGGCATCATCCAGTGCACCAAAAGTTTGCTGGTTCGATTCCCAGTCAGGGCGCATGCCTGAGTTATGGGCTTGATCCCCAGTAGGGGGCGTGCAGGAAGTTACAGGTCAATGTTTCACTCTCACATCAATGTTTCTCTATCTCTCTCCCTCTCCCTTCTCTCTCTAAAAAAAATCAATTAAAAAATCTTTTTTAAGCCCTGGCCAGTTTGGCTCAGCGGTTAGAGCGTCGGCCTGCGGTCCTGAGAGACCCGGGTTCGGTTCCCGCTAAGGGCACGTACCTCGGTTGCAGTTTGTCCCCGGCCCTGGTTGGTCGTGCGGGTGGCAGCCACTCGATGTGTCCCTTTCACATCGATGTTTCTCTCTCTCTCTCTGTTCCTCTCTCTCCCCCCAACTCTACCTGAACAAAAAATGGAAAAATGTCCTCGGGTGAGGATAAAAAAAATAATAAAAAATCTTTTTAAAAAAGTACCCTTAGTGGCTGCTAGTTTTGTGGGGTTTTTTTAAGATTTTTTTAATTGATTTTTTTATAGAGAGAGGAAGGGAGAGAGAAACATTGATGTGAGAGAGGAGTATCAATCAGCTGCCTCCCGCATGCCCCATACTGGGGATGGAGCCCACAACCCAGGCATGTGCTCTGAATAGGAACTGAACTGGCAACCTTTTGGTGTGTGGGAGAATGCCCAACCAACTGAGCCACACCAGCCAGGACAGAGGTTGCTAGTTTTAACCCACTACAGTACTGAAAAAAACGAAACCTTGACGGCATCAAGTAAATTCACCAAGATCCATTGCGAGTAATGACAAACCAGTCCACCTGCCTCTCGAGCCCTTCACTCCTTTTCCCTGACCCTGTGCTTCCTCTTCACTGGCCCTGTTCCTATTATCACAAGTTCAGTAGCTTAAAGCAACATACATTTATTATCTTGCAATTCTGGAGTTCAGGAGTTCAAGATGGGTCTCACTAAAATCAAGGTGTCAGCAGGGCTGTGTTTCTTTCTGTGTGGGTTCTGGGAGAGAATCCATGTTCTTGCATTCTCTACATTTTCTAGAAGCTGCCCATGTTCCTTGGCCTGAGGCCGCTTCCACCATCTTCAGAACCGGCAACAGTGGGCCAAGTTCTCTTTTATATTACATCACTCTGACCAATTCTCCTGCCTCACTGTTCTTGAAGGACCCTTGGGATTACACTGGGCTCACCTGGCTAGTCTAGGACAATCTCCCCGTTATCCTTTATGAGGTTGTATCTCCCACTCCTTCGTGAAACCTCTCCAGAGAGCATCAGGCCTCTAAGGCTCAAGCCACTCAAAGGAAGTGACTTCTGTCTGAATAAGGAGGGAGTATGTTGCTCTCCTGTTTCCAGTGCTGCTTCTAATGTCACACGCCACATAGGCAGCAGGAAGGTGAAAGATGCTTCATTTGTTCATTTGGCTACTCATTTACTCAATAGGCACGTAAGAATGCCCACGACATGGCCAGTACTCTGCTCACCGATCCCTAGAGGCTGGTATTTGCTGAAGGCCTCTCCTGAGACACTAAATTCAATGTTTTGCCTTGAGTAAGATAACAGTGCATTCTGTGGGTGCTGCTCGGGAAAGAAAAAAGAGGCAGATGAAGAAAGAAGGTGTGTTTGAAAGACTTGGGAGCTGCTCGGCCTCCCATTTGGGGTTTGATAAAGCACTTGAGTAGGTGGCACAGACAGACAGCAGAGCAAAGGCGGACCTTCCGTGGTTCTCGGTCTCTCCCTTTCGTAGCTACTTGCTCTCCATAATTTAAATGTTTGTCCAGTTAATATACCTTGATGCCTAGGCTGTGATATATAGAATTAAGGTTTCTATAACAAATGTGATATATTAGTCATTGAAACAGAAGATTAATAACTGAAAAATGCCCTTCCGTGTACCCTGACAGGGGACGTGTAATCAGTTTGATATTCTTAATACTCTGACCACTACTGTTTGCTTTGCTTCCCTTCGTTTCGGGGTCTGTCGTGATGCTTCCTCGATCTAGAGGGTATGTCCAATTTGCTTGAAGTTTAATTTTTCCCTTCAGTGGCCCTTTTCTTCACTTTATTTGCACACAAGTGGATTATTTTTCA